CTGCTGCTGCTGCTGCTGCTGCTGCTGCTGCTGCTGCTGCTGCTGCTGCTGCTGCTGCAGCTGCAGCAGGTGAGTGGGCCGACCCTTGAGGCAGCGGTCGGCGAGGAGGCCGCTGGCAACAGCTCCTGCTGCTCCCCCGAGGTCGAAGGCGAGAGCAGCAACAGCAGCAGCAGCAGCAGAAAGTGCTGCTTGTTGGCTGAGGAAGAAAGGCAGCCAAAAGACAAGGGCATAGCGCACGAACTTCACCAAAAAGTAACACAAAGAACACAGCAGCACCAGCAGCCGCTGCTGCTGGCCCCCGCAGCACGAGCTCCGCCCCCCAGCAGCAGCAGCAGCAGCAGCAGCAGCAGCAGCAGCTGCTGCGGGAGACAGCGGCACCGCTGCCGCGCTGCTGTCTCCAGAGCCACACAGACGCTCCGACTCGCCACGCCCAGCAGCGTCCGCACCGCCGCCTGCTGCTGCTGCTGCTGCTGCTGCTGCTGCTTCTGCTGCTGCTGCTGCGGGTGAATGCTCGCCGTCAGCAGCAGCTCCGGCGGGGAGCGCAGGCGGCTTCCCTGCTGCTGCTGCTGCTGCTGCTGCTGCTGGTTTCTGCTGCAGCGCCAGCTGGATCTCCGGGTGGCCCTCGCTGGCAGAGGCCAGCAGGCGCTGCAGCAGCTGCTGCTGCAGCAAACCGACGAGGCAGCAAACAGCAGCAGCAAAAACGAAGACGGCGCGCCAGCCGAAGCGGGAGTCGACGAAGGCGCAAAAGACTGTTGCTGCGATGCCTCCTGCGAGCAGCAAAAGTCCCAAATGGAAATAATAATAAATAAAAGCAAAAATGGAATTAAAAAAAACAAATTTGACAAAAAAAGAATTAAAAATGACGCAAAGTGGCCGGCGCGGCGGCTGCGCAGCGCAGGTGTCTGTACACCCGAAAACGCCGCGCACAGGGCCGCCGGAAAGCGGAAAGCGGCGCTTTTTGCGCGAATTTGCGAATTAAAAAAAGAAAAAAAGAAATAAAAGTAAATAATTAATAAAATTGGAATAAATTGGAACTTTTTGGCGAAAAAAAGGGAAAAAAAGCCACCTACCCAGCTGCTGGCTCGTGGTCCACAGCCCCAGCAGCAAACCCCGCCGCCGCGCGCCCACAAAAGGTGACAGAAAAAAAAGACAAAGAGGAAAAGTGGGCCCCTGGGAGAGTCCATTGAGGCCCCAGAAAAGGACTTGGGAAAAAAAGCGAGAAGAAGCAGCAAAGAGCAGCGCAGCAGCAGCAGAGCAGCAGCAGCAGAGCCGCAGCAGCAGCAGCAGCTGCGAGCCAGAAGCAGCAGACAGCAGCAGCGGCGACAGCAGCTGCGCGCCCGCGTAGCCCAGCAGAAACGAGGTGTCTATACACCCCAACTGAAACACCGAATATCCCAAACTCTTTCCAAACTCTTCTTTCACAATTGTAAAAGGCTTTCGAGTGAAGTACAAACAAGAGTACAAAAAGTAGCAAACCAGCACCACTTTTGGCCCTGCAGCAGAGCCCCCAGGCCCCCAGCAGCAGCACATGCTCAGCAGCAGCAGCAGAGACTGCAGCAGCAGCAGGGACTGCAGCTGCAGCAGCAGCAGCAGCAGCAGCAGCAGCAGCTGACTCTTGGTCCTGACTGGGCCCGCGCGCTGCTGCTTCGGAAGCAGCAAAAGAAGTTTCGAGAGAAGGCGCTGGGGTGTACAGACACCTGGAGGCAGCCATTGTGGCAGCAAAGCTGCGAAAGAAAATCACAAAATAAAAATAAATTTAATTTAAAATAAATTCAATTTAAAATAAATGCAAATCAAATCCAAAATTAAAATAAATCAAAATAATAAATGCATGCAAGCAAAGCAACAAAAAGATAAAACAGATATTCGTCTGTGGGGTATTTAATTTGAATAAAAGTGAAATAATTAAATTAAATTAAATCGATTTAATTTGATTTTATTTTATTTAATTTAATTAATTCAATAACTCACCAGTTAAAACAAAAAGAGTTTGCACTGAAGACTTTCACTTGGGAAAATAAATGAAGTTCATTTCTTGCATCTTGGAGAAGAAACCAACAAGCTTGGGGTGTACGTACACCTCAAAACACACAGCCGCGAAGTCAAAAGGAGCCAATCAGCGCAAAGAGACTCATCAGAGCAGCAGCAGCAGCAGCAGCTCCTGCTGCAGCAACAGCAGCAGCAGCAGCAGCTCCTGCTGCTGCAGCAGCAGCAGCAGCAAGCTGCAGTGTCTCAGTTCTTTGCAAGTTTTGAACAGAATGAGATGAAGAAGAAGCCACAAAATGCGGAGGGGAGAAGCAGCAAAAGAGAAGGCCTGAGTGGAAGCCAAGAAGGCCAGAGGAAGCAAAAGGTGGAAGTGCAGCAAAAAAAAGAGAAGAGAAAAGCAGCAAAGACAGCCCCCAGGAAGGTCCAGCTTTCCTTTTCGCGATGAAGAGGCAAATGCGTCCAAAATTGGAATTAAATGAAATCAGTTGAAGTTTAGTTTCGCAGAAGTTCTTTAAATTGCGTCTTTGAAGCGGAAAACCAGAAAAATGAGAAAAGTTCGCCAAATTCAACTTTCTGGCGCTGCAGGGTCCCGGCCAAGATTAAGCCAAGACTAAGCCCTGAGAAGCCCGATCCTTCGACAAATGGAGACAAAACAATAAATGCGAACATTAAATGGAGTTTAATTTATTAAAAGTGAAAGTCTGGCGGTGATAACGGAGGTTGCGCGCGGTGGGAAGCTGCGGTGAGGTGTCTGTACACCCCGGGTGTCCACGCCGGCGCCGCCAGTCAGCGCCGAAAAACAGTCGCCAAAAAAGAAATTAATTTCCTCGAAAGTTCTTTTTAATTAAATGATTTTATAAATTGCCATAAATTGCCGCATTTGGCCGCAGCAGGGCGCTTTGGCTTCGTCTGCAGCTTCTGGTGAGCTCGGCCGCTGCCCGGGCGGTTTCGCCGGCCTCGCAGTTCATTTCCCGAGACTTTCTCTTTTATTTTCGTTTATTTATCATTTATTTATTATTTATTTATTATTTATTTATTATTTATTCGCCATTTATTTACTTTTATTCGAATTAAATCCGCGTTTTAACCTCCAAGTCTTCGCCAAACTCCCCCTGGCGCTGTCGGCCCCGCTCTTCCTGCGGGGCAGCTGGCTAACCACTGGACCTCAGCAGCAGCCCTGCAGCCCCGCTGTTCAAACCTTTTAGTTTTTATTATAAATTAAAATTAAAATTAAAATTAAAATTAAAATTAATATTTAAATTTAAATGCATGCATCAGAGTTCAAATTAAGTGCCTTTTAACTGGCCCTTCACCTTTTCCCCCCGGGGCCCCACAGCACTGGGGCTGCTGCAGGTAAACTCTGCGCAATTTCCCACAAATATAAAACTGAAGAAATTAAAAGTTAAGAAATTAAAAGTGAAGAAATTAAAAGTTAAGAAATTAAAAGTGAAGAAATTAAAAGTGAAGAAATTAAAGGACTTTCGCTGCTGCAGTCTCGAGCCCTGCAGCAGCCAGAGGGTCTTTTATTGGCCAAAAACGGATGCATTGCACGCCCAGCAGCAGCAGCAGCAGCAGCAGCAGCAGCAGCAGCAGTAGCAGCAGCAGCAGCAGGGGAGCGTGGGGAAGCGGGGACTGAAGGAGAAGCAAAACGCTCGGAAGAGTTTCGGCTACCGTGCAGAAGAAGTTCAAAAAAGAAATTAATTTTTATTTCAAAGTCTTTTGCTGAAGAAAGAAATTCGCATTTGACTAAAAATGAAATTCGAAAAGTCGAAGACAGCAGCAGCTGTACGTACACCTGAAGGTGCATGTACACCTGGGAGGTGTACGTACACCTCAAGCTGCGCCGGCCTTTGCAGCCGCCGACTCAGCAGCTTCTTGCATTGCTGTAATTCTTGCTGCTGCAGCAGCAGCAGCAGCAGACTCAGCAGCTTCTCGCATTGCTTTAGTTCTTGCTGCTGCAGCAGCAGCAGCAGCAGCAGACACTGAAAAGGGACACAGGGGGGCCCCCGGGGGGGCCCCCGCGGGCACCACCACTTGGGGGAGCTGCCAGTGGGGGTGGAGGGCCCCCGGGTAGACAAAGAGCTTTCTGCAGCACAAGACAATAATAATAATTATAATTATAATTCCATTTAAAGTTTTAATTTCTTTTAATTCCTTTTAATTTCTTTCAATTTCTTTTAATTTCAACTTCAAGTCCATCTTTCCAACTCGCCGCAACCCGCGAACGCGCAGGTGTACGTACACCGCAAACGCCACACCTGTCGATACACCCGAAGGCCGCCGCCACCTTCCTCGACAAAAAATTTATTTCTTTTAATCAAATTCAACAAAATGAAATAAATGTGGCATGCAGACAACACAAAGTGCCCAGAAAACAGCTGCAATACATATATATATATATATGTATGTATTGCAGCTGTTTATATATATATATATATATATATATATATATATATATATATATATATATATATATATATA